CTATCTATCTATCTATCTATCTATCTATCTATCTATCTATCTATCTATCTATCTATCTATCTATCTATCTATCTATCTATCTATCTATCTATCTATCTATCTATCTATCTATCTATCTATCTATCTATCTATCTATCTATCTATCTATCTATCTATCTATCTATCTATCTATCTATCTATCTATCTATCTATCTATCTATCTATCTATCTATCTATCTATCTATCTATCTATCTATCTATCTATCTATCTATCTATCTATCTATCTATCTATCTATCTATCTATCTATCTATCTATCTATCTATCTATCTATCTATCTATCTATCTATCTATCTATCTAAAATGCATGCTGTATACAACTCTAAACATTGTACTCTGAGGCTGTACGGAGAAATTAAAAGTAGGTACTAAGCAGCTATGGAAAATGTCATTACTTTCACGCATATTGATATCTTATAAAACGGACAACAAATTTAGCAGGAATACGCGCGACCTGAATTAACTGTGTGTTGTATAAGGTTCTGTTAAACTTACACTTTTTTCCTGTGCTGAACATATACTGTACCGAGCCGTATCTTGGTCCGGTACAAAGAAGCTATGTATATTTATACTGACAGAGTCATGGGCCCCTGATACCGATAAAATCATCCTTCAATTTTTCGAGTGTAAAATCCCTGAAAGAGTACTCCTCAATGAAACAATATCAATATGTAGAAGGTTTTCAAAGGTTTCACACCGGTTTGAGGCTAAGATGTGCGGCCTGTCTCTCCTTGCAATTTTTCTTTTTGAGTATATACATTATGAAATGCAACACTCGTTTGCCAGGGGGAGTATTCCAAACGAAAAAGTAGTATAACAGCACCGGGGCCTTTGACAACAAAACTCATCTGGTCTCTCTCAAGCAAGCGAGACTCAACGCTACAAAGAGCGTTCTTGTTTAACAATTAATGAATGAGGCAGAGTATCTTATGAAGAATTATGGAGATCGAGGAGGGTGTTATCCGTCGAGGCCGTAGGCCGGAGCGGATAACACCCTCCGAGACCTCCATAATTCTTCATATGATACGAAAGCCGAATTGAATAACTGTTTTGTTATTCATTCAAAATAATTCCTGGTTCAAAAATATGGCTAAAACGTTCTTACCTCCATCGATCCATCGATGTTAAGTTCATCTTCGATAGCGCAAGTTTAAGGTTGTTCAGCTCCGCAAATATTCTCCAAATAGCAGATGTCGCACTTCGAGTTGTCTTCTTGCTGTTCTTGCCATGTTTTTAGCTATTTTTTCGCCTAGTTCTTACTCTTGAAAAGAGTGGAATGTCCGCCATTTTTCAAGTGCACAACCAAAACAACTCGACCTCGTCCCCAGGTCTTCTCGGTTAACGGTGCATTAACCTGCAAAAACGCTGCATTTTGACGTCATTTCCTCGCTAAACACAAAATTCTTCCAAATTTGGTCATCAGTAACTGGTTATGGTGAATTAAACGACGTGTTCTTTTAGCTAATTAGCAATTATTGAATGAGGCTGAGTAGGATGTGAAGAATAATGCAGATTGAAGAGGATGTTATCGGCCGAGGTGGATAACATCCTCCAAGATCTGCATAATTCTTTTCATCTCACGAAAGCCGAATTCAATAATTGTTTTATTAGTCATTCAGAATATTTCTAATTTGTTAGACCTTGTTATAAACAAGCTTACCTTCTCGAAAACTTTCTTCAAAACTTTGGCCTATTTCTCGGCATGGTTTCACGATATAACATACGTTTTTCCTTGAGGATACTCCTCAAAAGTAAACAACATCCGATCCCTCCAGGGATACGTTTTGCGTATTCTTGCATTTCTTAACTTAACTCAGGAATAAAGAGCTAGACTGCCGCGTCTGGAAAGGAGTTTGATCGATTTTATATTATACACTTGATGTCAGATCCCGAGGGAAACAGTTCGTCTCGGGAAACATCAGGACTCGAGGGAAAACAAAACTAACAGGTTTCCCGAGGGACCTGACATTAAGTGTTTTGTTATATTTCTAGACTTTCACTTCAACAGGAACAAAAGAATAACAAAGCAGTCGACTCGGTACTTATAACAACACAAATTTAATTCTCAAAACCACTGAATGAATGATTTACAATGTACTTTCCTTATATTATCTGCATCTCAGTTTTTCCTCCACTAGCTGCTGTTTCTCTTCTAGGATGACTTTGAAAATCGTTGCTTTTTAGCTTGAGGCTTCATGTTTCTGTTGTTGACCGTTCACTGTTCATTCACGAAAAAGAAAACTGGCAGCGTTTTTCCCGCCTTTTGTCACGCCACTTTCCACCATGCTTTGATCACGTGCTGTAATGAATCCCGAGCTGGGTACAATCCGGCTCAAATATATCACGATCGGGATACATTTGATTTTAGTCAAGGCCATGTGAACAAGAATCAGCCAATGGCAGTCCCTGTTTAGTTGAGTGAAAGTCTAGGAATATAAGTAGAGAGGAGAAGAGTGACGTCACGTTACCATGGTAGCAAAATTTCTGGATGACAACAGTAGGGAGTTTTTGCAACGGCGACGGCGAACAGCAAAAAAACAATTGGTTTAGATTGGCCAAAAAAAACATCTTTGCACGTGCATCACGCTTTTTTGTACATTTCTTATCCATTATTGCACGACCGCGACATGAAACTTCCTATTTTCACGCGCCCACTTTATGGAGTAGGTAAGAACAAAACAAAAATTTTGGTTTTCTTTTTCTAAACTTACATACGGTCCTTTCGGATTTAACCCAAAAATTACGCCAACATTTGACAAATTAAATGAAATTAAATAAGATCGATGAAGTTTGAAACAGTGCGAATCCATTTTTTAAGTGACGTTTTGCTTTGTTGTCATCCAAAAATTTTGTTACCATGACAACGTGACGTAACGACTTCTCCTCTCTATTGATGGTGTATTGCTTGCGTCTTCCAAATATGGTGAGCGCCAGTGGGTTATGAGGAATTAGCCGGGGATTGGAGCCAATATTTTGAGTGAATAATAAATAGAGGATATTACATGGCCGCTCGGAGATACGGAATTTCACCAGTGAGCGCAGCGAACGAGTGAAACATTCTTCAACACAAGAAAAGAAATTTCGTATCTCCAAGCGGCCATGTAATGTTCTATTCATTTATAAACACCAATGAAATACCAAACCATTTCGCCTTAATATTTTTTAAGTCCTAGAGAAGACGAATGTGTCAGAACTAAAAATGGAACAAAGTAAAAAGCCTTTAAATACAAATTCCTCTTCTTTCCAATGTAACAAAGAGCTAACCTGAAATATATATGGCTCATAGAATTTTACATTTCGAAAAAAGCCAGCTGTAAGCAAGACTATTTTTAGACATCAAATCCAATGTTACTCTACATTCATAAGTTCTATTTAAAAGTAAGAATCATGCGGGAAGCCGGGATTTTTTGAAGAATAAAGATCATAAAGAACAATAAGTTCGTCATCATCGTTTAACCATCGTCATGGCTTGCCAGGAGCAAATTACAGAGGTCTCTAAATGCCATATTACAAAAAAAAGACGACAAACACGAAAAGTCGTCGTCTGTCTGGGAAGCTGCACTGCTTAAACGTCGTTTTTCCCGCCGAAAACGAAATCCTTTACCCAGTCTACCTCGGTCGCGAAGCGTCGTCGTCGCCCGTTTCGTTGTCGATGCCTAAGGCCCCTAAAGAACGAGAAAAAGTTCAATACTAAAAATTAAGGAGCTGGTAAAAACTATAAAGCACTATATAAGATGTAATGGCAAATATTAGAACAAAAGTTAGACTGGGTGAATAAGGATATCAAACAGAGTGGGGAATGAGTCTGGAGTAAGAGAGAACCTCGGTTCGCCGATTTTCAAAGCTGATGAACTCTTCTAATTACTTTATCAATATACAACTCATAAAATATATTTCAGCTTGCTTTGATCTTCGTGACAAATTATTACCAAAGTAACATAATTGCACTATGAGTATAGGTAATAGCATGATTCGTAGTGATATTTGGCATAAATACCACGAGTGATATTTCAAAATTGTTATACGTAATTTCACGAGCCGTTAGGCGAGTGAAATTTGAGACAATTTTGAAATGTCACGAGTGGTATTTACGCCAAATATCACGTACAAATCATGATCATGCTATTATTTGTTTATACTATTACCCACAAAAGGTTTCTAATTTTCACATGTAGGTGTCTCAAATTAAGCTGAAATACCACCGCTCTAAGCCAATCAAATTGCAGAAATTTCTCATGTAGAAGTATAAGTATAGGTAACAGCATGATTTGTAGTGATATTTGGCATAAATACCACGAGTGATATTTCGAAATTGTTATACGTAATTTCACGAGCCGTTAGGCGAGTGAAATTTGAGACCATTTTAAAATATATCATGAGTGGTATTTTTGCCAAATATCACGTACAAATCATGCTATTATTTGTTTATACTACTACTCGCAAAAGGTTTGTAATTTTCACATGTATGTATTTCAAATTAAGCTGAAATACCACTGCTCTAAGCCAATCAAATTGCAGAAATTTCTCACGTAGTAGTATAAGGTGGTAAACAATACGTTACAAACTACTCTGTAAAACTATTTATTTAGATATTCTGCATTTGCAGATTCAAGAAGTATAGAATAGGCCAAAGAAATGATAGTCCAACACTTATAATCCTGACCTACCTCAGTAAATCTTACATGAANTCTCACGTAGTAGTATAAGGTGGTAAACAATACGTTACAAACTACTCTGTAAAACTATTTATTTAGATATTCTGCATTTGCAGATTCAAGAAGTATAGAATAGGCCAAAGAAATGATAGTCCAACACTTATAATCCTGACCTACCTCAGTAAATCTTACATGAAAGCTTGATTACCTTGCATAAGAAGTTTAACTATTCAGTTAAAAAGACGTTAGACGTTAGACATTCTTACTCTTAAAATATTTTTCTTCTTAAGATTAAGAAAAAAGCGTCATGGACAACATCTTGGAGATTCTACAGACCATTTATATTGGTGCATTCGTTGCAACTTTCCTTTTAAACACTGGACGTATTATAAAAGCAGTAGACATCTTTAACGAATGTTTGGTGCTCCTTAACAGTAAAGCCCTAGAAGCAGTCAAAGAACTTACCACACCATTTCTTATCCATGTATACGATAAACTTCTTGATGGCTATACTCGTGTGTACGATCACACCCGTGCGATAGAATGTGGTAAAAAGCTTCAAGTGACACTAAAAAATAGTGGCTTAAAAGAAGGAGAAGGGAAGACATTAATTAAACTAGCGAACATCTACTATCAAAGAAGCAAATACGAGGAAGCAAAACAGTTTTACCAGAAGGCACTCAGCATCATGATTGAGACCGGAAATAATTGCGAAGTTGGAACATGTTACGCAAATCTCGGAGCTGTGTTTCTTTCTGTTGGTCAATATACCAAGGCTGAAGAATACCTTCAGAAAGCACTAGTGATCAGGAAAGAAATCGATGACAAAGAAGGAGAAGCATCTGCTTATGGAAATCTAGGAACTGTGTTTATTTCTGTTGGTCAATATACCAAGGCTGAAGAATACCTTCAAAAAGCACTAGTGATGAGGAAAGAAATCGATGACAAAAAAGGAGAAGCAGCAGATTACGGAAATCTAGGAACTGTGTATCAATCTGTTGGTCAATATACCAAGGCTGAAAAATACCTTCAAAAAGCACTAGTGATCAGGAAAGAAATCGGTGACAAAGAAGGAGAAGCATCTGCTTACGGAAATCTAGGAACTGTGTTTAACTCTGTTGGTCAATATACTGAGGCAGAAGAATACCTTCAAGAAGCACTAGTGATCAGCAAAGAAATCGGTGACAAAAAAGGGGAAGCATCTGCTTACGGAAATCTAGGAACTGTATTTATTTCTGTTGGTCAATATACGAAGGCTGAAAAATACCTTCAAAAAGAACTAGTGATCAGGAAAGAAATCGGTGACAAAGAAGGAGAAGCATCTGCCTACGGAAATCTAGGAACTGTGTTTCAATCTGTTGGCCAATATACCAGGGCTGAAGATTACCTTCAAAAAGCACTAGTGATCAGGAAAGAAATCAGTGACAAAGAAGGAGAAGCATCTGCTTACGGAAATCTAGGAACTGTGTTTCAATCTGTTGGCCAATATACCAAGGCTGAAGAATACCTTCAAAAAGCACTAGTGATAACAAAAGAAATCGGTGACAAAAAAGGAGAGGCATCTTCTTACGGAAATCTAGGAACTGTGTTTCTTTCTGTTGGTCAATATGCCAAGGCCGAAGAATACCTTCAAAAAGCGCTAGTGATCAGGAAAGAAATCGGTGACAAAGAAGGAGAAGCATCTGCTTACGGAAATCTAGGAAATGTGTATCAATCTGTTGGTCAATATACGAAGGCTGAAGAATACCTTCAAAAAACACTAGTGATGAGCAAAGAAGTCGGTAACAAAGAAGAAGAAGCATGTGGTTACGGAAATCTGGGAACTGTGTTTCTCTCTGTTGGTCTATATACCCAGGCTAAAGAATACCTTCAAAAAGCACTAGTGATCGGTAAAGAAATCGGTGACAAAAAAGGAGAAGCATCTGCTTACGGAAATCTAGGAACTGTGTTTAACTCTGTTGGTCAATATACTGAGGCAGAAGAATGCCTTCAAGAAGCTCTAGTGATCAGGAAAGAAATCGGTGACAAAAAAGGAGAAGCATCAGATTATGGAAATCTAGGAACTGTGTTTCTTTCTGTTGGTCAATATTCCAAGGCTGAAGAATACCTTCAAAAAGCACTAGTGATGAGGAAAGAAATTGGTGACAAAAAAGGAGAAGCATCAGATTATGGAAATCTAGGGACTATGTTTCAATCTGATGGTCAATATACCAAGGCTGAAGAATACCTTCAAAAAGCACTAGTGATCAGGAAAGAAATCGGTGACAAAGCTGGTGTTGGAGTTTCATACTTAAATCTGGGAAAACTTTGTCTAGAATTTCAGCTTACTGCAAAGAGTCGAGAATATGCTAATGAAGCACTTGAGATAAGTTACGAAATAGGGGACATTGAACTGCAGTTTAACAGCCACCTTACCATTGCTCTGAACGAGTTAGTGGCAGGAGGAAGCATAACTGAGCTTCTGCGAAATCTGCATGAAAGCATTCAGAAGTTCGAAGAAATGAATGATTTTTTAAGAGTGAAAGATCAATTCAAAATTTCTTTTTTTGATAAGCATGTGTCCCCTTACCTTCTTCTTTGTAGGTTGTTAACTGCTTCAGGCAACTATTATGAAGCCCTTTACGTTGCCGAGCTTGGACGATCCAGAGCACTGACAGACGTACTGTCAGATAAGTACTCTGTAGAAAAAGTGGTATCAGTCAACCCACAGTCATGGTTTGGTATTGAGAACATTATGAACAAAAATGCACTTAGTTCTTGTCTTTATGTTTCCTGCTTCGATGATAATATGTATCTTTGGATCCTTAAGCCGAACAAAATTATAGTTTTTCGACAAACGAGACTCCAGGATAGTGCAGATAAAGTGTTTGGAAATCAGACATTTGGTGGCTCTCTTGATTTACGTCAAGACCAATTTGAAGATCGATCATTATTTTCATGTGTAAGTTCCTCGCTATCATGCAAACAATCTCAGAGTGACAGCTTCGAATCTTTGCGTCTTATCGAAAAAGAGGAAGACGAAAATCACGACTCTAAACTTTTAACCCTTGCTGATGGTTACAACATGATAGTCGCTCCTGTAGCTGACTTACTCCAAGAATCAGAAGTCATTATTATACCGGATAACTTGTTGTATCCAATTCCTTTTGCTGCTTTAAAGGATGGTAATGGAAAGTATTTATCGGATACTTTCAGGATTCGCATTGTCCCTTCCTTGACGACTCTTAAGTTGATTCAGCTCTGTCCAGCAGACTACCATAGTAAAACCGGTGCACTGATCGTAGGGGAGCCAGACGTTAGTGATGTATACTACCAAGGAAAAATTCTAAAGTTAAAGCCACTGCCTTGGGCGAAAGACGAAGCAAAGATGATTGGGCGACTGCTCGGTGTTCAACCGTTGCTTGGAAAGGATGCAACTAAGCAGGCAGTCCTGGAAAGCATGCATTCAGTAAGTCTCATTCACTTCGCTGCTCATGGTTATGCCGAACGTGGAGAAATAGCTCTTTCCCCTATAAGCTCCCGCGGAACTCCACACGAAGAAGACTACTTATTAACGATGGCTGAAATTTCACAAGTTCGACTAACAGCCAAGCTGGTTGTCCTTAGCTGCTGTCATAGTGCAAGTGGTCAGATTAGAGCTGAGGGAATTGTTGGAATCGCTCGAGCATTTCTAGCATCGGGTGCACGGGCCGTGTTGTCAGCACTGTGGGCTGTAGAGGACGAAGCTACCATGTGGTTTATGGATCGTTTTTACGAGCACCTTGTTCATGGTGAAAGTGCCAGTGAATCTCTTCATCAGGCCATGAAGTCGATGAGAGAGACTCGCTTTTCTGACGTCAAGCAGTGGGCACCCTTTATGCTGATTGGAGATGATGTGACATTCAAAGGTTTGTATTTGATATCATTTTTAGGTTTTTTAGTTATCTTAGTCAAAATCTGTGAAATTGATGTTCGTGACACTACGCATCATTTTGGAAAATATTATGAAGGGAGTTATACTGAGTTTTCTTAGTTTTTTTGTTTATTGTCTTTTCCAACTCTGTTCATGGAAGTGAGGTAACTGGAGAGAAGGCCGAATTTGATTATTTTCCGATTTTTATGGAATATTTCGTAAAGCATGCTCGAATCTCTGACTAACTAAAATTAAAATGTAAAAAACGATAGTTGAGATTCCAAAGAGCATACGAAAACAATTTATTAATATACCGTTTCACAGAGAAGAGAAGTAAGTGTTAAACACACTTTTTCTTGAGGGTGTACCTGATGAAAGACAAAATGTAGCCTGTTCCAGGCCCCGCGACTGAGTCGCTCCGCACGCCTTTCACCGCTTCATCCCTACTATCTAAGAACCTGGAACAGGCTTAAAAAAACGCTCCTAGTATTTTTAGTCTTAAAAAGATTCATCGTCAGGGAACCAGAGATAGCGCAGAGGATATACCAACGAATTACCGGTGGGCAAGAGTTTGAAAGCAGACGGAAAGATTCCCTGGGCACTTAATCTAGCCCAAGCAGCTGCAAGAGCATATGATTTTGTAACTTCTATTTTATACAGGTATTTTTCTGGCAAATGAGCTAAGGGCAACTCCCTTGTCGATTTCGTGTGTTCTTAAAAGGAGGTTTTTTGTCATCAATGGCCTCTTTTATGATGCTTGTTCCGCGGAGAAGTCGAAAGATTTAATATGCCCCCAAGAAAGTATTCCATTCGATTCGATTGGGTTTTACAATACGTTCTGCTTTAGTTCTCTTCGTAGTCGCGATTTTGTACCGGAGGAGATGGCTGACATCCTGGGCAACCATTGCACAGGCTGCTTGGGCTGCTCGGGCGGCAAGGGATAGCATGGTTGGCTTGATATCAATCTCCTGCTTCAAGCTATAATCTGATCAGTATAAAAACAGCAATCGAATCCAAGGAATTTGAAATATAGTAAATTATTCTCACTGCATACATAATTGGCCGGTGACGCGGGAATTAAGTAACTCTTTTAAATTCCGTGGTGTTGGGCCTGCACGCTCGTGGCATGATGCATTGCGGCCCTTGGTTAGAATTGCTTAGTTTTTGCCCGCCTCTTGGTTGGTTCAACTGGGTTCAGTGGAAGTGACTTAGAAGTTTCGCCCCATCCCACCTCCCCTGGTGGCAGCTGACGTCGCTTGCTCTCATTATTCGGCATGCCTATTGTCCTGGCAGTCGCGGTTGCCTCCCTTCACATAGTTCTCCGCGTCGGAACAATAGGTATGCAGTGCGAAAATTATACGAATCGCATTTAAGCTGAAAGTGACACAATATGACTTTACTGAATTTTTAGCGTATAAATGATTCCTCAAAATGAAAAGGTTTTGTTATTTGTTTGACTTTGAAAAAATCTTTGCCAGATATTTAGGTAAAACATTTAGCGCAACGAGAGACAGAAGCATGTTGATCGATGGCTAAAATAAATGGTGCAAAGAATACATACGAAAGGGAAGTGTGATGATTAGTTTTTTTATTTGCCTCTCAGGTGCATTTGTCAAGAGCAGTTTGAAAGATGGCGAAGGTGCAACGGAAACAAAGAACTTGTAAACTGAGAGGAAACATGTTCAAGTTGACAACTACTGTCACCACTGTACATAAATGTATATACCTAGGATCTCAATGAAGTAGTCTTGTCTGAGACCGCAAAGTGAACAGGTGATAATTGTACTTTTTAAAGCAGGCGCCATTTCGATACGTTACGGGGGAAGGTGAAGCATGAGATGAGCGTGGAGCACAAGCAGAGGGGATAGCCAGGACCAGTTAGTCGTCCTCATAGTGGAGACATCAAAGTTGTATAGACCTTCTGAACCTACGTCTACTGTTTTAGTCAGGGCTTCTTTCGTTCTACGTGACTTCTGCTACTCTCGTCAAGGCCTGCCCTTCAATTGACGCTTGCTTCAAATAAGCTCAATTACTTACATGTCTTACATCAACACGAGTATTACTTTGGTTTGATAAACTTTGTAAATGTACTGATCTTGACAAACGTGATGAAATGCCAAATAGATATCTAAGCTATAATATGATTTTACTTTGTTAGTTCTGTCACACCATCAATGAACAAAGGCCTTGGATGAGGGCAAACAGGTGGACGTTGTTTTCCTGGACTTTGCAAAGGCTTCTGACAGAGTGGCACACAATATCCTGCTGCAAAAAATGTGTAATTTTGGTATCTCCGGTGCGCTTTGAATTCGTGTAAGGATTATCTCACCGACCGAGAACAGAGAGTTGTCATAGAAGGAATAAATTCTACATGGTGTGCTATTTCATCGAGCCTACCTCAGGGCTCCTTATTGGGCCCTTTGTTCTTTGCAATTTTCATTGGTAATTTGCCTGAAGTAGTAATGGCTGGAAACTGTGTGTCATTAAATGCTGAAGACTGCAAAACATCCAGGATTATAAACTGTCTAGCTGATCATTCCATATTTCAGTCAGGGCCCAGTTGTTCGAACGCTGGTTAGCGCTAACCCGGGGTTAAATTTTAACCCAGGTTTCTTTTTCTTTTTATCAAAAGCTCACTATCGGATAATTTTCTGTATTCTTTTTATAGTATCTAGTCATCAAATTGCAGGCAAAGAGAATTAAACTGAATTTGCTTTTTAAGCTCTTATATCCGAGTTCAAATTTCGCACTAACCGTGGGTTACCTTAACCCAGCTTCGAACAACCCGGCCGAGATGTCGACAATTTATATGCATGGAGTCAACAAAACCTTAGGGAGTTTAACGTGAAGAAATGTAAAGTAATGCAATCTGCAATCTGTCTTGGAGCACTCAGATTGATAAAATATCGAATAAGGCCAACAAGATCCTAGGTCTAAGGGACCTGTAAAGGATTTCAAGATGTTTCCACATTGAGAACTCTGTATCTTGCGCTGGTCAGATCACAGCTAGAGTATTGCAGTGTTGTGTGGTCACCACACACATCACATATTTCTAAGTTGGGGCGAATTCAGCGAAGGGCAGCTAAGTTTATTTTGAAGACCAATGATGATTACGAACAACGGAGAAAAAAGCTCATATTTGTTGTCCTTAGAACAAGGACGACTCTTATTTCAGGGGAACCCAACGACTGTTTTCTGTAAAAATATCTGTTCGGAGAAGCAAATGCTGCCTAGAATTTTCTATTGCTTGAGGACGGTTAAAAATCTCTAGATAACTGTTCCATTCATGTACAATTTTCGAAGCTTATGTAATTATTTCCCTATGATTTTCTGAAGTTTAATTCTTTACATTTCATTGCCCAGGTTAGGCTATTTTTCGTACAAAAAGGAAACCTAAAATTTTCGGATTCAAAAATGTGATGGAGAGAGGAATCAGAAAAATTCTCACTTTCGTAAGACGTTAAACTGCATCTAAAATTTTCTGCAAAATAATACTGAAGCCCTTGTAATTCCGAAAAGACTCAAGTTCTCCTAGGATGACCGAACAGGTACAAATTTTATAGCGCCCCTTAGAATGCATTTCTAGAGATCTTAAAGTACGCTGGATAGCCTAAAAAACGATTCCACTGTGTTTAGGAGGAATCCGTCGTTGGATGCCCCTGTTATGTGACGTATTTTTCCTGTATTAGGCCCTGAATGCCTATATAAATATTGATCTATCTACATATGTACGGTTTTTCTCAGATTCTGATCGATATCCTTTAAGGGGAAAAGATGAATGTACCCTTAAAAAGAATTATGCTAGAACTAATACATTTAAGTGTAGTTTTTTCAGTAGGATCGTGGACATGTGGAACACTCTACTATTGTTTGTTCGTCAGGCAGCAACTATTGCTAGTTTTAAGAAAGGAGTGAGGGACTTTTTAGGTGGAAATGTGTGAGGTTTTTATTATTATTATTATTTTATTGATTTTTTTTGTACATATCTCCATATGCATTTTCACATTTTAATTGTCTGTCTTATTTAGTCTTAGTTTTTATGATATGAATATCTTTAAGAAGGTGGTCTGTCTTGTATGGGGTCTTCGACTCTTTTACAGACCGTCCTTATGGTAATGCCTTTGTATTTATCACTTACTTGACATTTTTGGCTATTAAATTGTAATAATTAAATAAAAGTGTTCTCTGGAATTAAGTGCTCTTTGCCAGGGGCACCCAACGACGGTTTCCTCCTAAATACATTGAAAACACTTTTTAAGCTTCTCAGAGTGCTTTTGTAATAGATCTCTATAAATACATTCTGTATCTATTCGGTCATCCTAGGGGTGCTTGAGCCTTTTCGACATTACAAGGGCTTCTGTATTATTGTCCCCAAAATTTTAGATGCAATTCAACGTATTTTGAAAGTGAAAATTTTTGTGATTCCTCTCTTCATCACATTTCTGAATCCGGAAATAATTTTAGGTTTCCTTTTTTCTACGAAAATGGCCTAACCTAGGGAGTGAAATGTGAAAAATTAAACTTACTTTAGACAATCGTAGGAAATTTATTTCCGAAAATTGTACATGAATGGAACGGTCATCTAGAATTTTTTAGCTGTCCTCAAATAAGAGAAAATTCTAGGCAATATTTGCTTCTCCAAACAGATATTTTACAGAAAACCGTCGTTAGTTGCCCCTGCTTTGCGTCAATACGATAATTACGGTATTGTTTTTAAGCTTGTTTTATTTGCCTTAAAGATCATTCACCACCACAATGTTTCACTGATTACTGTTTTAGAGTAGTGACAGTGTTTAGCGGAAAGTTCTAAAACAATTCAGCATGATGGCGACTCTTAGAGGACACAAACAAAGAAAATGAATAAACATGTTTGTGTCCTCCAAGACTCGCTATCGCTCTGAATTTCAATATATCGAAAGACCCCCCCATTAGTGACCGATAAGACTTAAGGTGGCTCCGTAATTAATACAAGAGCATTTTGCTGTGACAAATTTTCCGTCATAACCTTT